CGAAGGATCCAGTCTAGGTAGACCGCGTCCTTGGAGGACACGTCCTAGGTTTTCGAACAGAGCCAATAACTGGTTTGGTTAGCAGTACAGAAGGAGAGCAGGCGAGCACTACTCTGCCACTTATTGGCAGGGAGGAGTTAAACTTGTAGCTACCACCTTCAAATAAAATATATAATTAGCTCTTCAGGATACTAATTGTTCTGTGATGATTACTGGTTAGTGTAGCCTTGTGTTGCTCTCTCCTGGTCAATTTCCGGTAAAACCCACAGATGTTTGAGATGGAAAATAGAAACACGTGAAAATTTGGTCTCTGTGAAGCTGATCTCTATTTTGACTCTAAAGCAGATCATTCAGAAAAGAGTTTAACAGAGCAGTGACCCTCTGCAGGGGACAGATGACCTTTCACTTCCCTCACCTGATCAGGTCAAGCAGGGCATCTGCTGAGGTCATGACCGGTCCTCCACCCAGACGGTTACTCTCCATGTCTGTCCCTGCTCCAGGCTGGATGATGAGGACCAGCATGATGCCGACCACAACGGCGATGAAGGTGGTCCACAGGTAGTAGGTGACAGTGAGGACGCCCATCCTGCAGCACGCCTTGGACTCCATGGAAGACAGACCAGACATCAAGCTGCAGACAGACAGGAAGACAGACGCCTAAAGCTGGAAGTCCAACACAGATAACCTTCCGTAGGAGCTGCAGGACCGAAATTTTATCGCTTATGTGACTGTTTAATGTTTTACCCTGGGGCATTAAAATAATACACGTCTTTCAGTATGTCCAAAAACATGAGATATGGTGACTTGCATGGAGGTTTGTTCACACAAAGCTGAAAAATATCAGAAATGACCTTATAGAAGCAATTGCTACTGGCCATCAATCTATCTAAGGTTATAAAACGATCTCCAAACTACCCAGTACAGAGGAGAACATCTCAGGCAGCTGCTTATTATCCCAACAGCTTCAGCCCTAAGATCAGAGCAGGGAGCTCAGGGAAATTAACAAAGAACTGAGGTCTACATTTTGTCATTTTGTTTTGGTTCTGTTCAAGTTTTATCTCCGAATTTTCATTGGTCTTATTTTCATTTTTGTGTTGTAGTTATTTTTTACTGTGCTTGAGTTCTTGGATATTTCTTATTTGCCCTCTTGTGTCAGTCTCCTTTTCCCTAGCTCCCCACTTGCCTCTGTTCACACCTGCTCCCAATCTGCTAATTAGCCTGGTCTTTGTTTCTCTCTCCCATATAATCTCCTCCTGTTCAGTCACTCTTTGCTTGTTTATTCATCATTTCTTTGCCCCTTATTGTGAGTATTCCTGGTTTTGAGTAGTTTTGAATTTTAATGGATTTATGTTTTTGCGTCTGTTATCCTTTTTGTTATTAATTCTTCAAGAAACCACTCCTGCTTCAGTGTCTGCATTTGGGTTCTGTCAAACCTCCACTCCACTGTGAAATATTTTAGAGCAGTGGCAGTATCCAGTACCCTCATTGAGGGGGGATGGCATCCCCCGCTTCTGTAACATTTTATAATTGAATGTGTAAAATTTCTAACATATATTAACAGCAGTGGCAATAATATTGCCCTTTTAACATTTTTCTTCCAAGTAGCCTGAGCAAAATAAATAAAATCAAAGAAGTGGCCTACCATGACTATGAAGCTGATCCCAGTAGGAAATTTGTTCTCTGCACTACCCCTAACTATGTAGGGGTAGTGATGGCCTTGTCAGTCCAGGGACTGACTGCAGATCTACTGTAAGGTGCCTTGGTCAAGACCGGTGTACCTGATATGTAACGACCATAACAACCATACCATGCATATTGCTTTAGGTTAATAGACTATATTAAGTAAGCAATGCAGGTTTCAAAAAAAAAAAAAAATTCCACCATCCCCTTCTTTCTTTTTTTTTTTACAACTAGACTACTAGACGTAATTTACAAGGGGGGGTTAGGATAGGGCCCGCATTTTTTCGTGGCAGGACCATTCAAAATCATAACACTCACAAAACTAGGGCAAAAACTAATTGTTTAGTATATAAACTGAGCCACAAAGTCAATGCTACAAACTTCTCACCGAACAGATAAAAACAGGGATACTTTCTTAGTATGGACGAAGTTTAAAGCTGTAATTTCTAAACAACTGTTAAACTAAATTGTCTGGAGAAAATATTAAATTGGTCCAAAAGACAAATCAGTAACAATGTCTTCAACATTGTAAGAAGCCACTGCAAAAACTGATCTAAATTAGAAAATCATTCTAAAAATGTGTTCATCTGTTTTTAGTTTGACCAGGAAAATAAGCTGACCTGCCAAAGGAATGAATACTTCTGTCTTTAAAACTATATAATTTGATATTATGAAAAAGGAATTAAAGTTGTTTTCTTTTTTCTTATTCAAAATATGAATCACCTTTCATCTGTAAATTGTCTTAACTCCTTCAGTCAAGGGCAATACTCTAAGAAAACTCGACCTATTAATATTTACATTTTTGCTGTGTGTGTTTTCACTACAAGGTTTAAAAGCAAGATGTTACATAAAAGCAGGACTTAGGTTAGAAGAGCTACATCTGAATTAAAGACAGTGCTTAAAGGACCATGTCCTCTGAAAACAGATCTGAAATATTTGGAGTATACCAGAGATGGGAAGTAACGAAGTACAAATACTTCGTTACTGTACTCAAGTAGATTTTTCTGATATTTTTACTTTACTTTACTACTTATTTTTATGGTGACTTTTTACTTCTACTCCTTACATTTTTACACAAATATCTGTACTTTCTACTCCTTACATTTTAAAAAATTGTCTCGTTACTTTAATTTTGAATCATTTCAATGGAGTTACCATTATTATTTTTCACGTCATCAATACCAAATTCAATCTAATTGGAATGGAATCTAGGTTGCATTTGACGCACCACTACAAGATGAATCGACAGATTCGGCGGTATTCATTCGTGGCAAATCATTGCAGTTTGGTGGCAGTGGCGTTAGCATAGTAGTATGGACGACGAGATGATTGAAAATGAACACAACGGAGATCTAGTCCTATTGGCAGACATCCATTTAAAATGTAGGCAACGGCATGAAAAAAGTGGTTTCTACTTTTACTTTTATACTTTAAGTAAATTTACAAGCCTGTACTTTGTTACTTTTACTTGAGTAAAGAAGTTTAATCAGTACTTCCACTTTTACCAGAGTATTTTTTAACACAAGTGTCTGTACTTTTACTCAAGTACGGAAAGTGAGTACTTTTGCCATCTCTGGAGTATACTAAACAAAGCAGATCAACACAACATTTCCAGCCCAACTGCACCAACCAAACTACTCCCTCCCTCCACCTACTTATTCCCTCAGGGTCACAGTGGGGCCAGTACCTATCTCTTGCAGTCTATGGGCAAAAGCTGGGGTATACCCTGGACAGAAAGTAAATTAACCTTAAAACCATGTTTTTTGACTATAGGGGGAAGCTGGAGTACCCAGAGAGAACCCATGCATGCACAAACAGAATATGCAAACTCTATGCAGAAAGACTCTGGGACGGGTCTCAACCCAGAACCTTCTTTTTGCAGAAATTGTGCTATAAACTATACTACAATGCAGGACCCCGACTGTAAAACAGTGTAATGTGAATAATATAAATAAGTCAATCTTTCATGAAATCTGCATATTATCCCTTGATTTAAGCAAATAGGCAACTTATTTAAAATAAGAAAAAAATCCATTGTCTTATTTCATTTGAATTATATTATTTACTTGTTTTTAAATCATCTTTGTTGTGTGTTGGTGGAGGGATAATAGCTGCTTACTTTGCAGTTCCAGGACCTGGATGTGTTGCATCAAGTTAATGCTATCAGCTCAGGTACCATTAAATCAATGATAACAGCCCTGAGAGTAAATCCCTTCAGGTTTGGCTTGATCTCTTTGAACTCAAAGCCAACAGGAAACAGCTCCAGAGCTAAAGATGCTCCTGGTATAACCACTTTGACAACATTTGGATTACAATATGCTGACCCAGTTTTATTGCTCCTACCTGGATGTGATGAGAGGAAGGATGAGCATCTTCAGCATCCTCATCAGGAGCTCTCCAGGGAAAGAGAAGTAGATCTTAGCCTGTAGGGAAAACAAAGTCCCAAGATTTTAAGGAAGTTTAAAATATGTTTGGCTTCTGTGCAGAAAAACATCACAGGGAAGAAGGTTATAGGTTAGTACTTCTTAGCTTGGATCCCTCCACCTGTCACAGGTGGTGCCTATGCACACATGCAAGTCCAGATCTCTATCTGTACAATAAAACCGCCTGACCATTCGCTCTGACTAAGGTCAGGGCTGTGAAAGACTTGGGACATTCCAGATAGTCGTCAGAAGCTGCTGCTTCTGATTACAAAATAGTTGAATATTTGTTTACTGATGTGATGAAGGACAATACAGCTGCCCAGGTGTGCTGCAACATCAGCAGAGCAGCACGGTCTGAGGTTAAATAAGGACACTTGAGAGGGTTTACAGACAGACAAGGAGGACATATTTTCACTAAACTGTTACAATCTAAAACAAATCTGTCTCAGAGAGACTGAAAATAAATCCTCCATGGATCACAGCACTGGATCTCTTCTCAGGAAGGATCAGAGCAGAATATTCCTGCTAAGGAACTGGGGTCTTTCGGGGGCAGAGGAACTACTGAGGGCCTTTGTTGAACCTGTGATGGCATCAGCCATCTTCTATGATGCAGTTAGTTGGAGCTGCAGCTTATCTATAGGTGAGAGCAATAGGTTAGATAAGCTCATCAGGAAGATCAGCCCTGTCCCAGGATTACCCCCGACCCAGTGCAGCTGGCTCTAGACTGAAAGACTGTAGCAAAAATAGCATATGTGTTTGACAACAACCCCTCTGCATGTATGGAGCTGTCACAGAGCTGGAGGCACCCAAGGTGCACAAAGGAAAGTTTTCACAGATCCTTCCTCCTAGCATCTGTCAAACCATAGAATCATCACTGCTCCAAAGAAACTCAATACGTTTTTAAACACCTATTGCATGTTGACATTTTATTCATCCTTTTAAATTGTTTGTTTGACTTTTCTTTGCAAACTGTACATGTTAGGAGTATTTTTCAAAATACTCTGCTCAGTTTCACTCTACTTAAACTTTTAGTAGCATTTCATTTTATGTGCACCTTATTTATTATGATTATGAAAATTACCCTTTGCTGAACAATCTCTTGTTCTTACTGTCTTTCACTCTGTTGCTGAAACAGTTGAATTTCTACTCTCAGGAGCAATAAAAGACATTACATTGATCTAAATTCTCCGTTACCAGGAACCACGTCAGCATTTAACACTTTATGTTTATAGTCTATATTTGAAGATGTATCTTTCAGCTCTTTTTATTCTTTATAAAATAATTAATCCTAATAATTACCATGTAGTCCAAAACGGATGGTATGTGTTGTAATTGTCATTGTATCTATGGATTTAGACAGCCAAATATTTTTTTATTAATGCATTGCCATGAGAAAAGAATTTGAAATTGAAGAAATTGTGTAATTAATTATAAATATAAATCTTCCATTTATGACCACATTTAAATTGGAAAAATTTCCCTAAAGCAACCTGAATAATTGACAGAAACCTGAAGCCAAATCTAATGGCAAAATCATACAAAAGTGCTTTGAAAGGATTGCCAAACACCCACTATAACACCAAGGTTTGAGTTTGAGAGTCAATATTAAGTATTTCAATGTTGTTTACTTTGGACAACATCCCGCTAGTAAGAAAATGTAGATTTTTTTTATTTAGATTTCAGCAAATTAAGTTGTTTTTCTCTATCAGGTTCATCTTGGTGCATTTAATGACTACTAGGAAAACAAATAGCGAATTCTAATTTTACGGATGGTATATGAATGCATCACCATGTCCATCTATACATGCTTCCCCTGAAATTTTAACAGCACCAGCAGTGATGAACTGGTCTGAAACCTGTCGGTACTGACTGAACCTGGCTGACCAAAGAACCTCTAATGGCAGCACAATAGATATCTTTTGAACATTAGAATTAAAAATACCAACCAAGCATCAATAAAAACCTGAATGATAAATGGAAATGCTTTTTATACTAAAATATCTTTCCTGATGACATAAAACTTTTTAAGTCTCTATCTTCACTTGACTATTTCGGTCCAAACTGTTGTAGAATCTACATTTCTAAAAGAAACGTGTAACTTTAAACCTATAGGGCTAGTAGACCTGTAGCTCCCAGATTTAGCGCTGTAGAAAACTACTAGCTACTCTACACTTTTACCAATTACATATGCGATTAAACCACTTTGGGCCAGCAGATTGGGAAGTCATGGAGTTCCTGATAAATCCAAGGCCACATTTAAATATGAAATCCTAGAACCAGATAATCAGAAATATGTCTGATCAGTTAAGGGTCATTTCTGCTTTGTTAGTGAACAAGTGTTAGAATAGTTTTCTCCTTTGTTTAAGGGGAGCTCAGAACGATGTGCTCTGGGTCACTTGACTCATTCAGTGACAATCCAACCCTTAAAAGTTACATCGGAGAGTTGCTGAGAAAGGCAACCATCATAGAGCATCAATATGCATCATGAGCTGCATATTTGCCTTAAATCATTTGATGTATCTCAAATTAAGCTAATATTTGGGAAGAAAGTTTTGCAGTGTTGCTTTAAGATAATCAAATTGATTGTTGCGTGATAAACTAAGGCTCTTTACATTGCCTTGTGTCCAAAAGATGCTCCACAAATAAAGCTTTGCTTCCTCTTACAGGGACAGATTACTGAGGCTGGATTATGACTGAGGACTGTTAAAAGCTCCCAGGCAGCATTTGACAGGGGCAGTCCGTCCTGCACCGAGGTCAAAGGTCATCTGCCTTTAAACCCACAGGACCGATTTCCCAAGAAACTGATCAACTAAACCAAGAATCAGCTTCAAACCCAAAGGAGCTTAAAGAGGAAAACACCCAGACGACTTCTTTCTCTAGATCCCTGAAAGTCCTTCCAGCTTATCAGTGACTAAAAATAATATAAAATAGTGTAGCTAAACAATCTTTTTTTTTAAACCGCGTTTGAGTCCACACCTGAAAAGTTGTCTCGGCTTTAGGAACTTAAAATAATCTAAGGAGGAAAAAAGGAAAATCAGAAAAACTTTCACATTTTGCTTTTTAAATTAAGTTTACAGAGGATTTTGAAGCTGGTAATTTAGTGTATCTCAAAGCAACATAACGTCTGTTTTAGATGATTGAATCAAAGAAAACCAATTACAAATCTGCAACACTGATTTTTTTTTTTTATATAAAGTAAATTTATATTTAGTTGTGAAAGGAGACAAGCTGTTCCGTAAAGTAGGTTTCTGAAATAAAAATATCAAACAAAGGTTTCAATGAATGAATCAGTTCTTAGGGTTTTATTGGTCTGTGTTGTGTATGGAGAGACATTTGTTCCTTTATGGTTGAAAGCAAACTTTCAAAACTTCAAAAGTTAGTTATTTAATTTATAATGTGTACTCAAAAAGTTCAACCAATATTTTTATATTTTTTCCTAATATTATATAGATTTTATCTTTTCAGGGTTTTTTTTCTTCCAAATTTTTCCTGATGTTTTTTACAGATTTTATATTTTCCAGAATTTTTTTTTTTTTATTTATCTTTTTTCCATTAAGGGAGAGAGATAGACTGAATTTTAACGTAGCTCAATTAAATGTATTTATATAGCGCCAATTTACAACTAATTTAATCTCAAGGTACTTTGCAGAGACAATTCAACCAGATTGGTAAAACATTTCTCTCTAAGAAAAACCTGTTGATTGCAACCATGTTGATGGCATTTACTTGCAAGACATGCTTCTTGCAGCAACAATATTCCTTGCATTTGTGTTTGACTCTTCTTCCATCCTTCACGCCAAAAATGCATGTAGCAACAGTGCGGAGGAAAACTCCCTTTGAACAAAAAGAAACCAGCAGAACCAGGCTCAGTGTGAGCGGCCATCTGCAGAGGCCTGGGGTTCAAGGAGACAGACTTATAAAACAAACATAGAAGCACATATATACTAATCATTTCTGGGTATGTCAGAAAATGAAACAGTAAACTAGCTCCACATGTGGCTCTGTCTGGGAAAGAAACAGTTAAGCAGACGAGTTCTGATGCAGTTTTCATGTCAGTTGAGGAAAGAAATAATCAAGTTCGTCACAGTAAAAGCTGAGCTCATCACTATGTCTAGGAGAGAAATAGAACTAAACACTGGACAACAGGTTAAATATAATATATAATCCAAGGTGTTGACGGCAGCAGCCCAGCTGGTATTTTTCTCCAGAATGGGGTCAGAGCCGAACAGGAGCAGAATGTTACAGTTACAATGACTAAGAAAGAAAGAAAACAGTGAGAGCATAACATTAGAGGTTGAACTAACAAGTACTGCAGAATGGGGGAATAGAGATAGAATGAAGCAGACTTATGAAAAGTGGTCCCTATGTCCTCCAGCAGTCTAAGCCTATAGCAGCAGAACTCTAGAGATAGCTCAGAATGAAATGTGTTTTAATAATTAAATTCTTTTCAAATCTGGTTTTCAGATTTGACCCTGTACACTTCTCAGTGGAACAGCATTTCTATTGGTCTGCTTACAGACCCCTCAGAATGAAAATAAACAATAAAATCTAGAAATAGAAAATATATTTTAAAAGACTAAAAGAAAAATAAGACGTAAAAATAGCAAAATGTAGAAAAATAAAAACTATAAATTACAAACACAATGCAAGCGAACTGTCTCTACCTGCTCATCCAGGAGAAGATTAATCTTTTTACCAAACCAAAAACCGAAAGGATGATCTGAGCCAGCGTTCTCTATAAAGGGACCCCATATGAATTGTGTATGTGTAGATATGTGTTCTACATTGGAGCTATATAAATCAACTGACTTGAACTGAATTAAATTGAAATTGAATTATATGATTTCAATAACCTTATTTTGCATATTTACTTCCATTTTTTATTTGAAAAGGGTTGTTTGTTTTCAATGCCATTGAAGCTAATTTCTCTCCATAGTTGTGCTTGTTGTTAAACAGCTTTCATACAATCGATGGTTGATTTATCAAATATCCAAACAAGA